ATTCCTTCCATCTTAAAAACAAAAATACTTTACTTGATCTTCTACATCCATTTTACTATAGCCTTATAGACAGCAGCCTTGAAAGTTGGCTGGACTCCTCTCAACTTCATCTCTATCTTCTTCATCCTTATTAATCCACTTATTTCTCTCTCCATCATGCCACTACGCTGCTCTTGCTAAGGTCTCAATTTATAACTGACAAAACCAAGACATATTTTTCAGTATCTCTCTTTGGCATCTGACAAAACCACCAAATATATACTCTCAAAATTTTCTACTTTCCCTTCAGAGTTGTTACTTTCTTATCTGCAATATATTCTGGTTTCTATGTTCTAAGTTAAATACATTTGTATGTTTTATAGTATATATTGTCATAAATAGAATTTTTAGAAAAATTTTAATGGGACTTAATTTCTGAATCTTTTGTTTCACATTGCAGTTTGCTGGTTACCTGGTAACAAGGCATTTAAAAAGATAGGGAATGCAGTTAGCATTAATATATTGGCTAGGCGGAAAACCAGAGGAGAGAAGGATCATTTTATAAACCATATAAATGTCTAGCCAATGTATTGTGTACGTGAAACTAATAAAAAAATTTTTTAAAAAAAGAGTTATTACTTAGAGATAAATTATACATTTTAAACAATGTTTTATATGTTCTAAATTTGCTCATCTTTTTAAAGAAAAGTAGCTATATTATATTTTCTAACAAATGTTAGAAAATAAAACAATCTTTCCTTCAAGGGAAATATAATATTTTGATAATAAATGTGAAAATAAATGGTTTTTAAAAGAAATTTGTTACATAAAAAGTATTTTGAAAAAAATGTTTATTGTTGCCTAAATTAATAAATTAGTAAAAATAATAAAATTAATTAAAATACATATCGGCAACTTCAAAAAGCTGGAGAACTAATTTCTATTTGTTTTTAAATCTATCAAGCAAAGAATTTTAATAGGTGTTACACTCGTTACAAACTTTCAAAAATATACTTTCCAAGTAGTTTATCGGAACAGCTACTTGACATCAGGAAAGATAGCAATTACTACTGGATTTCAACAAGAACCTTTAAATTATTGGACAGGATTGAAAAAGTATGATTAGTAAACATAGCCAATGTTACAATTCTTTCATTTGAATCTATGTATTTTTATATGATATCTTTTTCAACTATGACAGCTATTAAAACCAAATATTCAAAAAACTGCATATAATTCCATTATTATTATATGATATTTTAAATAATTACATGTTTCACTCACTAGACTGTGAGCTATTTAAAAGTGGAGACTTTGTCTTCTTCATCTTTGTATCCCTAGGACTTTGACTATATGGCATACAAATAGTTATGCAATGTTTTGTGAATGAATGACAAAAAATACAGACAAGTACATTAAAATGAAAATATATACATACACACAAATACACATATACCCAAGTATATGTGTAATAGTGTAATATCTGATTAAGTTAACAAAATATTACCTAAAATGGGCTTAGCTTCAAATCGCAACGCTCATACACCAATTTGATGGTGTTTAATGGTTCAACTTATAATAATGACTTTCTTGATTAGGATATGTTCTCATAAATAAAGGTATCATAGTTATCCTATATAACACATGAGCATCTTTACTTTCAAAATGAATCATCAGTGATATAAGGAATGAATATAAAGTCAACAAAAAATAAAACAAAACCAATAAAAGAACGGTTTCCAGAACAGAACGATGGATAAATAACCCAACAAAAATAGAACTGTAAAAGCATTAAAACTTAGACTTTCAAAATAACAAATTAGAACTAAAAATCAAATAATAGCATTTTTATTGTAAGACTAGATTTATATCTACTAATCTCATTAAGAATGTGATGGCTACTTTGTGTAATTTTCACTATGGCATAAATTTTCTTTTTAAGCTATATTAAAAAATTTTCACCAAGCTATATATTTTCTTTTCAAGCTACATTTTAATTTTTTAAAATTAATAAATCATATAATTATTGATATAATTATTTCCCAATACTAAATTACACTTAATCCTCTATGGTAGTTAAAGCAAAGAAGCCCACATTACAATTTCATTGGAAAAAAATTAGATGCATACACAAAATTATATTCTATTAACATCTTTAATTCTAATTGCATCTATAAAAAGAAAAATTCAAAGAGAAAAGTAAGCCAAGTAAAAGAGAATAAATGCTTTTCTCAAAAAAAAGGATAAGGATTCATAGTAAATATATATTTTTGCTGATACAGCAATAAATTGCTAATAGTTTATAGGGATTATTATATTAACTGCATTCGGAAAAAAATTTATCTTGTAAAAGCTGACATACAAAATGGCTAAGTAAAACTTAACAGGATTTTATGAATGATATTTATCAATCTTCTGTGCCCAAACTATAACTAAGGTCTTTTTTTTTTTAAATACATTGCAAAGGCAGTATGAAATTTAAGAACATAAAATGTACAAAATGGAAGCTGTATTAAATAAAGCAGTAATTCTGTAGCAAATGATGTCACTGTTGTCTTTTTTAGAAACATTATAAAACTTCCTGGAAAGCTATCTCCTTCACTCTTAGGTTTATAGTCACCTTAATTATGTATGTTTGATGTTATCTAAAAATGTATCCATGGTCTATTGACTGTACTCTAATAGAGGTAAAGAAGAAAAAAAACAACGGAAATACTTAAAAGATAAAAACAAAATAAAAGTAAAAAGAGCAAGTCAAATTTACAAGCAAAACTATTCCGTTGATACCTACCTCCTGGAAATTCCATTAGCCAGAGATTTATGGCTACAGGATTTGGAGGAGAGGGGTGATGAAGTTGGGGACAAGTTGAGAGGGGCAATCAAACTGTTGATGATCTCAGTCAGCTGTGCACTCTGCAAGAAAAACAGTCAACTTTTTACTACTGCTAAGCAAGAAATGTGAGTTAAATCTCAGGTCTTTAGTGTCTATTAAATGTTTACCTTCTCATGAAATAAGTACATGTTTATATTTTTAGTAAATATTTTAATCTATAAAAATGATTTTTACAGCTGATTTTTCCATTTATTATGAGTAAATCTACATTTTAAAGTACTCCTTTTCCATATCCTTTTTTGTTTCAGTTCCTTTATCTAATCATCCTAACCTCTAAAACATTTGAACTCAGCTAATAGTATCTACTATTATATATATTTCCTTTGAGGCAGCCAAATTAATAGTAACAAAATCATAGCTATAATTTATTAAGTGTGTACTATGTGCCAGGCACTATACTAGGCACTACAATATTTCTCATTTTTACAACAAACCTGTAAAGTAGATAATATTAGAACCACTGACATTACTATATGCAAGATCAATTTACAGATGAGGAAATCGAAGCAAAGAAAGATTAAGCAGCCTGATTAAGGATTGTAAAGTTGGTAACAATGGAGCGAAGATTCAAATTCAGGCTTGAAGCCTATGCCACACAGTTTCTCAAATTTTTCCTAACTCAAAAATGTCAGTTTTTTTATTTTTATTTTTTGGTATTCAACATTTTCATTGGCTCTTTTCTCAAACTTAAATATATGTAACATTTCTGTAAGGTATAATAATCAAGTTATTCTCAAAACAACCACCTACAACAATTATAATAAACATAGGTTACAACAATGGAAATAGTACATTTCTACAAAAGAATGACAACTATTTTCATTACAAATGTAATTTGTGTTCATTATATAAAAAAGGGAAAGTATAGAGAGGTTTAAAAAGGAAAAGAGGATCACCTGTAATAATATTTCACAGAGAAAACCACTGCTAATATCTTGGTATATATCCCTCCCTCTAGACTAAGTTTTTTGAGTATATGCAAACATGAGAGTATGTGTGTGTATACACACACACACATAAACATGTGTGCACACACACACAGACACACACCCAACCACACACGCCATTTAAATTAAATCATGCCATATCAATTTTTAAAACCTGCTTTCCTCACCTAATATAGTGTGACACATTTTTTTAAATGTATAGATTTATTTCACTATTTTTATTAACTGCAATATATTCTATTATAAAACAGAGGGGTATATGAAGTTATTATTTTGAAAGTGCACACACACGCAGACACACACCCAACCACACATGCCATTTAAATTAAATCATGCCATATCAATTTTTAAAACCTGCTTTCCTCACCTAATATAGTGTGACACATTTTTTTAAATGTATAGATTTGTTTCACTATTTTTATTAACTGCAATATATTCTATTATAAAACAGAGGGGTATATGAAGTTATTATTTTGAAACTCTTCATTTGTATGAAACTAATAATATGCTATTAAAAATAATGAGACAAAATATGATAGAACTAAACCTAAAATTTGAATTCTTCAAAAAATCTTTTACAATAAAGAACCTGAAATGTTTTCACTATTTTTTTGAAAACTAATATGTACCTAATGACTTCATGTCAAAAATTATTACTCATTTTTAGATTAAAGCTCACTTTCAAATTGAAAGTGATACAAATTGAATCTTTATCCACTTATCAAGCATTTATTAGTTTATTCATGCAAATAAATTTATAGAGTATCTCATATTTTCCAATCTGAAACACTGATATACTCTTATTATTTCACCTTTAAAAATATCATCTAAAATATTCTAAGCCACTATAAGTTGCTGGTCAGGTATGTCTGATTAATTGGTCCAGAGGTATAGCATTACAACCAACCCGTAGTTTTACCCTAATGACCACCCTACTCATATACCTGAGTCCATATTTAGAATAGGAAATTCAGAGCAAAAATTAGAGTAAAAGTAAAATTAAGAGAGGCATAATGTGAACTCTGAAAACAAAAACTAATCAGCTTTAAAAGCCAAAACACTAGCTGTTGCTAACAAGGTTTCTAATGTAAATACCCCAGCATGAAAAATTTTTTTAAATTATTTAAAGTTATAGTCAACTTTCAATTTATGAACAAAATATATTATCTAAAAATACAAGTATGCATTAATACTGTGAATCAATGTTATTTTTGAAAACTGATGTCAGACTACATATTTTAATTGCCAACTTTTTAGTGCTTTTGAGATACATAAATATTGTTTGGTAAGCAAAACATTCCTCTAACAAAACTAATTTAATCAAGTTGGAGGATTACCGGATCTATATTAGCCAGTTCTCATATTAAATCTGGTTCCAATATGGTCAGTGAACAGTTATATACCAGTAGATTATCTTAAGAAAAATATGTGTAATATCAGGCTTGCCACCCTTGCCAGCCACTTAACTCGCCTCTAGACCATCTTCCTTAGTAAGTATTTGGAAACAATTTTTAAGAAATTGGTCTATAAAAACATTATTAGCATATGTCTAAAGAGCAAATAACCAGTTCATAGGCAATTTATTAATGACCTCTATAAATGATCGCTGCAGCTCCTTTCTTCCTCTGCTCTCCCTATGTCTAAAGCCATTACTGCTATTCTCACAACTACTGCATCCTTTCTCTACCAAAGCCTCTGTCTGGCACTCCTAAACAACAATGGGACCTAAAATAAACATGATACACAGGGCCAACTTCATGGGAGAGCTATCTGTGCAGCTGCACAGGGCTGCACTCAGAAGAGTCCTGTACTTGGTTTTTGATCTGCTGTTACCAACTTAAAACTCTTAGAAATTGTTTTCAACGAAAGGCTATCCAATTTCATGTTGCAGATGGTCCTGCAAATTAGCCAGTTCTCATATTAAATCTGGTCCAATCAAACAAATTGGTGCTAGCAAGGAGAAAGAAAAATAAATAAATCTCTTTCCAAGGAACAAATAGTGACCTACAGATAAAAAAGTAGAAGATCTGACTGACCAAACAAATACATTGTTCTGGAGTGTGAAATAAGTAGGGTCAAATTGAAAGAAGATCGATCCTATGGGATGAAGAGAGGGAAAAGAAAGAAGTGGGAATACAACCAATACTAATTTAAAACACCACTTATATGGTAAAGGGCATTCCAATTTAACATGATAATTACAAAAATAACTTACTAAATTATAAAATATTCATAAAAGTAATTTGATTATGCATTCCAATTAAGGAAAACTAGGCAATTGTAAATTTAACAAATATGGGGTGGGAGATGTTACACCATATTCTGACTCACCAGGATAGAAGATAATAGTAAACTGGTACTAAATTATTTCACAGTGTATGTCAGAAAGACTCAGAAAAATGAGGTGTGAGCACGCGTGAATCCATATTACCCAGTGGAACAATGTAATCATGCAGCTGAGCTCCCCACCAGGTACACTCTAGCAAATTCAGTCTGGTTGCAAGGTAACGAAACCCTAGAAAGCCAAGTTTGTTAAAAAGTCACCTAAGACTAAATCAAAATAAATGGTTTGATTTCAAAGGATATAAGACAGAATAATTAAACTTCTGGAATCATCTATAATAGGATTTAAATACCAGGAAAGGCTTTGGAATCAAAGTAATTTATTAGGAACTTCTTCAACTTTCTATTTACATGATCATTTTTCAATGATAAAACCCATGTTCCAATATTATCTTTCACTAAAAATCTCTACAACTAAATTAATCAACCATTCAGATCTATTAAGTTATACCAGTGTTCTTTCCCATGAAAAAAAGTCCGATAATGAGCAATTTTGTTAGAAGAAAGATTTTTCAAACAGTACAATAAATGAGTTATCATCCTATGACTATGTACTAACACTTTACATATTATATTTAAATAATCTTATATATCAATATAATAGGAGACCAGTCATATGCTACATATTTTACTTGTATTTAATGTCAAATTGCCAACTTTAATAAGCCATACTCCAAGCAGAAGCATACATTTATTCGAATAATTTATAAAATCAATTAAAAGTTATTTCGTGCGATTCACACTTTACTCGTACTTCTCATTACCTGTTTTTCTATGTTACGAAGAAGTAGTGTAGGGCTACTTGGTGACATTTCAAAATCTTGTTCTGGTAAAGGATCTTGACTCTCTTGGGGAATCTGAAGATTCCTTGTAGTGTTTAATGAAGTTGCTTGGTCTGCAAATTTTATTTGTTTTTTCAAAATGTCTTTTGGAAGTTGACATTCTTCAAGGATCACTATCCCCTAGGCAAACAGCAATTAAAGAATTGAAATGAAAACAAAACAAATTTACTGCTAAATCAACCTTAATGTTACAGTGCACTTGAAACCATGCTTCTTATTATCCCTTGGAAATCAGAAAATACACACTTGAAAGTACAGTTTAACTTTGTAAAAAACTGGCTGATTTAAAACATGTGCAGCTATAATAACATGTATGGTTTGATGGATTAGGCTTGTAAAATATTGTCATAAATTATATACATGTGGTTATTTTTCTTCTTATTGGTTTTAGTTATTAACATTAAAAGCACGATATATTTAGAATAAAGTTAAAGGCTTATACGCAGTACTTGAACATTTCAGACTGAAATTTAGAATATTTTTTGATATAATCTTCTGATATTTTGGTCACTAGCATTTCCATTTGAGTTTCTTATTTGAACAGTCCCAATTTCATAAATTAAAATACAAATCTTACAAACATCCAAACAACAATTTAACATGATGCTAACTCCTTTCAGAGCCCCAGTAAGGAGCCCCAAACCTGTTGCTGCCAGCCAGCAACCATGGGCAGGCACACACCAATGAGAGAAAATACTCTCTAGGCCAATCAAAGCTCTTGTTGCCTATAGGGTAGATGAGTTAATAATAAAGACACGTTTTCAACTTTGATGGAGTATTTTCTGAAATGTGAGTAACTGGAGGAATAAGTACAGATCTAGCTGCCTCTGAACAACCTGCCACACACACATTTTTTCCTCAACGAGCTTGCTAAACTTTCTCCCACATTCCCCAGCTTCTTCACTTCAATTGTTTCCACTCTTAGGTCTCTCAGAGACAACGGAGACAGGAGAGAAAGGAGAAAAAGGAGTACACAGATACGATCTTCATGATTGCATAGTCAGTTGTCACCGTAAAACTTCCTCCCTTCCTACCCCTTCTACTACATGTCCCCCAGCAAAGAATAATATTAATATATATTATCTATGTAGGTGCAGATTTTTTAAAAGTGCCAATAAGCCCCTACAGACTGGTTTAAATGGTATTAAATGTCCAATGTAGCTAAAATATATTCTTGTAATTAAAAAAAAAACAGCCTAAAACATTAATGTAAGTTTACAGTATTTCAAGATGGAACAAATTAAATGACTGCTGTGGGTCAGCTTATATCATGTATAAGTGCTATTTACAGGATGGAAACTGACTATAGATTATAACATGCTATATATGAGTAGTTTTAGTCTATACTATAATTTAGAGAATATATAACTTTTAAATGAACATATTCAGCTGTGGTATTACACGTACATTTTATTATTTTGTAGTAATATATTACCACTGATGATTGGTAAGAGTAACAAATAAATTATTATTTATTATTTTTTTACCTATACTTAACAAAAATGCTAGTAACTTTACAAAGAGAAAGGGATCCAATTTTTGATCATATCTCAATGACTACTTTCCTAGTACATACAAATATGGCCGTCAAGAAATCTGAAGAAATACATTTAAGTTTCTGTTTATTTGATATTTTAAAAATTAAATTATACTTGATAAATATAGCATCATCAATCTTGAAAACTCTTGAAAGTATCTGAAATATCCACTCAAAGTCTGTACAAGTCTCTCGCTAGGTTTTTCACAAGTACCTCATGTAAAAGAAATTCACGTTTTCACCATATCGATTTAAATGTAATTATCTTTGGTTTGATTACAGTTTATATTATGGGCCAGGCTGCTGTGAACTAGACTGATTTCATAACCCCTACTTATAACATTGTCTCTATGGAAAAATTGCTTCTGAATTTCAAAAGCCCAATTTCTAAACCTTAAGAATATTACCATTTTTAAGTAGGAGCCTACTATAATTACTTTAATGAAGAACAGTGTCCTTAAAATTTAACAGGGGAAACATTCATAGTCAACTTCATAATCTATTTATTTCCCCTTAAACTGTTGCCCTAGACAAAACTCTCACAGTGAGAAGAATGTACCATGATTTTTCCCTCCCATGGATCATCATAATGTACATTTTGAATACCATACAAATTTGTTTGTCAATAAAGGTGAATTAAAAAAAAATATCAGAAATAGTCTAGCAATAGATAAAACAAGGTAAATAACAAGGACAGGAAAATTCTTTAAAAAGATGAACTGTGATGACTGAGACAAGTGAAAACTCTAGCAAAGATGAAAGCAAATCAACTGCCCCAGAGAAAACAATTGTTTCTGGTATTAACACTAGCGATCCCCACCCCAACTCCATGGGTCCTCACAGAGGAGACATAGTGTGAAAAAATAACTGCCTCAGCAACATTTTATAATTTATATAAAGTCACCAAGGCTAATTTTAAGCAAAAATTGAAATGAAAATTTATTTATTTATTTTTTCAAAATGTACAATTTAAAAATAGGGAAGACCCTATTATAGGATAACAAGAAAAACCCAAAAGAGACCATTTAAGCTAGCCAGCCTCTCGACCAAGAATAAGTATTTAAAAATTTTTCCAGAGAGTGAGAAGAAGCTGTTGTCTTAGTGAAAAGCTAAAGCAGAGAAAAGGAGAAATATGAGAGTTGTAATGTGTTAACAAAGCTGCTCCAAAACCAAGGAAGAGGTGTTAATATCTGCTTTTTTCTCCTCCTCAAAAATTTAAGCAAAATTTAGGCTACCTGGAGTGTGTCAAAGAAGGAGCAAATGACAGCTTAAAGAACTAAAACTTGTAGGTCTACTAGCAGGTCTACTCAGTCACAAACTGTCACTTACTGAAATAGGATATTTACAAAAGAGCATGCTCAATCTCTTCCTCTCCCTCTTATCTCTCACCGAAA